CTCTTAATTTCTTTCTTGGTATAGAGGTGTGTTCTGATGGAAATGGCCTTGTTTTGACTCAACAAAAACATATTCGTGAGCTATTGCATAAACATGGTTTTGGAGATGTCAAGAGCCTTCCTACTCCCATGGTCTCCAACTGCAAGTTATCGAATGATGCTGGTGACCCCATTGAAGATGCAGCCCAATATAGAAACATTGTAGGGGCTCTCCAGTACATATTAGTCACTCGGCCAGATATTGCTTTTGCAGTAAACAAAGTTTTCCAGTTCATGCAGTCACCTCGCAATAGCCATTTTCAGGATGTTAAGAGGATTTTATGTTATCTTTAAGGAACGGCTGATTAGGGATCTGATCCTGATGATAGGCGTTCCACGACTGGTTACTGTATTTTCTTTGGTGGAAAACTTATTTCTTGGAGCTCACGCAAGCAGTAAGTTGTTTCTCGTTCCACAGCTGAAGCTGAGTATAGGAGTGTTGCTTCTACAGCTGTTGGCATTGTTTGGATTGAGTCATTGCTTCAGGAGTTGTGTGTGGTTCCACATGGTAAAGCTACATTGTGGTGTGATAATTCCAGCACTGTTGCGGTCTGTGCCAATCCTGTTCAGCATTCTAAGTTCAAGCATGTAGAGCTTGACTTATTTTTTGTACGAGAAATGGTTGCTAAAGGTCGTTTACAGTTTAATGAGGTTCCTGCTTATGAGCAGGTGGCAGATGTTTTGACAAAGCCACTTTCTTCCTCTTCGTTTCTCAAGCACAGACAGAAACTCTTGGTAACACAACTAAGAGGTCATTGAAGCAGGGTGAATGTTAATGAAGCAGCTAATGCTGAAGCAAGTGCTGAAGAAGTTAATGAAGTAGGGTGAATGTTAGTGTTATGAACACATGCTTATGGATGTGTTGTGAGTTCTAGAATAGTTTGTTAGCTAGTTCTAGAATAGTTTGTTATCTTGTAGCAGTTAAGTTGTTGAGCTATTAACAATTTGTTGTAACAGCAGATGCTTCCATTCTTATCTGTATAAATAGCCTCTCTCTAATTCAAGAGAGGTCAGCTTCTTATTAATAAAGAATTACAAAGTTTTCAGTTCATTTCTTGTTTCCTTAGATAGCTCAACTGCTATCTTATCAGCAGGTTCTATCTTTAGGACTTTTGACATTCTAAGATAATATAGAAGATTCAAAACAGAGAAAATGGCCGAGCACTTGAGGAAGCATGAAGCAGTACTACAATATATGGTACACAATTTATCATATTCACAACTTCAATTGATTAATCGAATTTTACAAATAATGAATGAATAAGAACCACAAAAAGGGTGTCCCAAATTCTCATAAATTTTGAGATAATTCATTAACTCAATAAGCCAGGGGAAGGACCCTCTTATGCTTCATCCCATATTCTCATTGAAGACGAGTTTTTCCTTCTCTTTTCATTCATCTGAGCACTGAATGAGAATGCTTGAGCAAATTGTTAATTGGTTGGCTTCCTTGGGCTTTACGTAATAGATTCTTCATTCTTTCTGTCACCTGCTACATTCAGTTCATTTTCCTTTTTAGTCCTCACTAACCAAATCAAGAAACCATGTTACATAATTATTCACAAATTGGTATGGAATAAAACCTGTCCCAAACTTCCCCTTGTGTAGGGACGGTGATTTCCTGCTGGTTTCTTCCCTGCATGTCGATTTTCCACTTCTACTTCGTGTCGTTATCGTTGGGGTACTCTTCCAACTTCCATTCAATATGGCAGGGAGGCTGGATTCCTAGCATCATACAAACTCAAATACTTAAAACATTTGATCTTTTGATTCTAAGATGAAGTTAAATTCATGCGAACATACCAAAAAGAGAACAGTTGCACAATGCTTTAAAACCTCTAAATTCATGCGAACATCATCCAGGCTCCTGTGTTTTTGCTTCCCAAGCCCAAAGTAAGTAGCTAAGCTCGCCATCTGCTCGACGGGAAATCAGATCAGGGCAACTATTTCGGACATAATAGGTTTGTCATGTCTTAAAATGATATTATTCATGTCTTAAAATGATATTATTCTTACATATAACAAGTTTGCTATGAATTTTGTACCTTCATATTACCAGCTCTTTTGCGAAACTTCTCTGTGAGGACTCCTAAAGAATCAATGATCCCAAAAGATACAGGAGGAGGCCTACCAATGTCGGCAAATGCCTCCTTGATACGAACACAATCGAATCTCTGAATGTTATGCCCACCCAAATCCTACCATTCAAAAGGCTGAATATTTTATCGGCAACGTCCTCGAATGCAGGCGCATTTGCAACAGCATCTCTGGTTATCCCATCACATCGGGCAGACCTCAATGCAACAGAAGACAAGTCCTTGGGCTTAATCAGGGTACTATAGCTCTCTAGCTCAACGAGGTTCTTTGAACAAACTACAACGGCACCAAATTCCAATACCCAGAACCTTTGACCGACTCTGTTGGGTACTGTTGTTTCTATATCGAAGAACACAATTTCTGCTGACCCTTCTTGGCCTGGAATAAAACCCTCCATTGGAACAAGTGTAAAGGTTTTAGTTAAAGCTTTTCTATTTGGCGACGTTGATTGTGATTGTTGTAATCATGGTATATAAATGGGTGGAAGAAGAGAATTCTTGGCATTAGAGATTGATTGTTTTGTAGTTAAAGTCAATAGTTTTAGACTTTTACGGTTTGGATGAAAGGTTTTCAAAGCTTCTTAGGGATCAACTGCCTTACTGAAAGGGAATTCCAGATAGGCGGGAATAGTATTGAAAGGGGTTTGGTTTTGCTTCATTGATATGTTACCATATTCTAGCTATTTCTCATGGAGCAGCAACCTTTTGGACAAGTTGACGCTTTTCTGAACATTAAAATACTACGTTGGAACTCGTGTTTTGAAAACCGGACCGGACTGGCCAGTTCAACAGGGAACCGTTGTCTGGTCCGGTTCATTCTACACCGGTTGTGAACCGTTGAACCGGACCGGATCGTTAACCGGTTGAAAACCGATTTTATTTTTTTTTCTAAAAAAATTAAATCAAACGACATCGTTTGTTAAACGAGCCTAGACGAACTCAAAAACTTTAAAAGTAAGCTCAACTCGACTCAAAAACTCACGAGCTAAAAATTATCAAGTTCAACTCGAACTTGAAATATAATATTGAAACTTGAACTCAAAAATACTCGAACTCAAAAAAAAAAATTTAAAAGCTCAATTGAAGCCTGAAATTCGAGCTCAATTGAAGCGAAATAATAGTTCGCTCTGTGCTCAACAAAAGACCCCATGATTTTGAATGCCAAATTACCTATATTATTTATAGAAGTCAGTTGGGATGTTCTTCTATGTTTCTTAGCCACGTGGGATTGTTTTGTTTTCATATTTTTACTCTTTAGATTTTTGTGATGATCTTCTATGTTTCTTAGCCATGTGAGATTTTTTTTTAAAATAAATTTAACCAAACTACATCGTTTGTTATGATTTTTTTAGCCCCAAATTTATTTTTTGATTATAGTTATATAATTATATTTATTATTTAATATGTTTTACCTTAAATATTATGTTGTAGTTGATTTGAATCATTTTGTTTCACTTGATTTTATAGTTTTTAACTTATATATGTTATAACTTGCTTTGAATATGACTTGTGATATAAAAAACTATTTTTTATTAAATGTTTTTTATATTTTTATTTAAATTTTTTAAATAATTAATTAATTATGACGTCGTCCGGTTCTTCCGACCGGTCTAATCGGTTTAACCGGTTGAACTAGTGAACCAGTAGCACGACCGGGTCGTTGACCGGTCCGGATCTAAAAACCATGGTTGGAACATATGAAGCAAGCTTGAAAGGGAATCGGTTCCTTGGAATTATAGATCTGGCTACCGTTACCCCACAAGCAAAAATATTCCTTGGGAACATTCACATTGAGATGCTATGTTACCATCTTCTTACGCTGTTGACATGCAAAACGATGTTTTGTAATATTAATTATATAATACCACATATATAAATATAGACCTATCATTATTTTTTGACAAGAATATAGACCTATTATTTAATTTTATTATTTTATGTATAATATATATTTTTATAATATGATATATTTTTATATGATATTTATTAAATTTATAAATGAAGTAGTTAAGTTATTAAATAATTCATATTCTATTAATCATTATTAATTATAAGAAATACCTATATATTGTAATTTTCATTAGTCTTATTATAGGGAAGGGATAAATTTATATTAGTGGAAAATAAATTGAGTTTTATAGTCTTTTATAACTTTTTCTTATACTGATATTATAATATTTACCATTAATATATTAATGTAGATAATGTATGTCAAGTTTCGAATTAATTAAAAATATATAATTATTTATTATATATAATTTTTAAATTTTTAAATATATATTAATGAAGGCATTATTTTAATTTAATACGATAGAGATATTAGATCAATTCAATAATTTATGTGTACAATTATATTGATAAATCAAACCTTCATATTATTGAAATATAAATCATATAAAAAATCATGTAAGTCGGACAGATGTTTGCTTCATCACTGAGCTCTGTAGTTGAGTTAGTGCAGTTGGAAACTCAAGCTAGGGTGTTAATTTGTACTCAGTTATGTATAATAATAATAATAAAACTCGTATGAACGTTGATGATAATATTGATCTTTATATATTTGATTCAATAATTAAATTAAATGATTTTTTATTAATAAACATTGTTGAGTCCATTTAAAACAAGTCAAAACAAGCAACTGAACTGGAAACAAAAACCCTTAGGTTTCATATGTGATTTGGATTTAAAGAACATTATTTAAGATTGACTATTTTAGAAGTAATGGACGTGCAAGCATTTTCTGATTTAACAAAGTCAGTCGTTAGTGTTCGTGGAACGCATCAATTGTTGATTATAGTAAAGATGAATGAATTTTGTATTGATAATCAGCCTCTACTTTCCTTAATATGGAGCCAAGTTATGCGACATGCAAATCACTTACTATAAGCTGCTCCTTGCACTTCCTACTTGGAAAATAGTTCCCACCACAAACAAAATTGCTCGAGAACTCGATGAGATTTATAAGGATCTACACGAGCTTGACTTAGCAATTGATGTGCCTAAAATCCTGGTCAAAAAGTATAGCCTGCAAAAGGAGAAACATATACCGGTTGATCCAATTTCATTGCGAGAATCATCCATGGGAGAAATAAGCTTCAACATGATGTTAGCTCCCCAAGCTGATACTGAAATCCCTCTTCCACCCCCTTTGCTACCCGCAAAGCACAAGTTCTTAAGTTATAGCCCTCCCAACTCCGCGACGTCGTCCCCTCGATTCGGCTTGATTTTGTCAAGGAAGATCTTGAAAGCCGAAATCCAAACATCGCCTCCGCAGGTTGACAAGTTGGTGAAGAAGCATCCGTCACTGAAAAGCAAGTCTTGTGGAGATGGAAGAACATGTGCACCGCCAGATGAAGTCGATGATCTTTGGATGTACGAGAAAAACGCTTTTCATTACAACAAGCATTATAGACATGGAAGTTTAATCTCCAATCCGAATGTGATTAACAATGGTGATGAGATGGATGGTAATGAAGTTGACTTCAAATGCAATGCCCTTTGCTTGTTCCTACCAGGGTTTACCAAGGCCAAGCAAGTAAAGCCTAGAAAAGAAGCAATGGCGATGGAGAATTATAATGCGATATCCAGAACAGTTTCCCTGGAAAAGTTCGAATGCGGTTCCTGGGCTTCATCAACGATAATACCAGACCGTGATGTTGATGACGGTGACTCCATGAATACCTACTTCGATCTTCCATTGGAGTTGATTAAAAGTCTTGGGAACGATTCGGATTTACCGGTTTCTTCTGCTTTCGTGTTCGATAATAAAGATGTAAAAGGAGTTTTGAAGAATGGTTCAAGTCAAACAAGATCAACAGGCAGGAAATCACACGAATCATCATCATCTCGGCATGTCAGGTTCACTGCATCATCCCCAACATCGTACCCTGCCTCACCTGCTTCTCGCATAACGCCTCGTTTGCGTAAGGCTAGGGACGATTTAATGCTTTCTTAGAAGCACCGACACAGACTGCATGAGATTACTTACTCAAAATTCTGTCCTTTTAATCACTGTGTATGAGTTTTTCCTTTTTTTTCCCTCTTTATTTTCCGTTGAGGCATTGCCTCAAGAAAATAACACTTTGCAAATTGCATTGCTCCAATTTGCTACAAATTAAGATGTTCTTGAAAGGAAGATAGAAGAATTGCTCTTGAAAGGTGTATTAGAAAGCAAATATACACCTATTATTAAAGGTGTCTCCCAATTGAATTTGAAGGCGTAATTTTACCTTTTAAAGCTTGTGTGCAATTTTTTTAAGTTTAAAATATTAGTATACTTTCTTATCCTACGATAATGCATACACATTCTGTACACGTAATGTTCGACAAGAATTTTAGAAAAAAACTATATTCCTTTCACCACTAAGCTCACTCAAGAGTTCAATTAATGAAATATTAATAAATCTTCATCTGAATAATTGAATAGAATTAAAATATTACTTAAATAAAATAATAAAATTAAAAGTTCATGTATTATAATAATATACATAAAATCAATATTCATGTCTAATTTTATGATCTACTATTAGGAACTACTATTAATTGAAAATAGGATAAAGTACACTAATGGTTTTCCAATTATAAAGTGATATTTTGTTGAGTTTATCATTATTGAAAGTTATAAAAATGATCCCTCAATTATAAGGCCTTATTTTGTTGAGTCATCCGATTATTAAAAGTTACAAAATAGTCACTCAAACATGTGCTATTTTTAGGCTAAACTTAAATATATTAATTATCTATCTATTTATTCATATATTGTAATAATTAATTTTAATTATACGTATACCGATATATAAAATATAATTTATTTGTGCATTATATTTATTTTTTGTTGTCCTTCTAGTATTAAGACTTCATCTTGACTATTTTGGACTGACTTGCGTCGCATACCTAGTTTAAACGATATACAAGGACTCGAACTCGAGATCTTGCTTAAGCGATATCAAGCTACTTACCACTTGAATCAACTCATGTTGATACATTTGTGCATTATATAAACTAATCTAATTAAAATTACAAATTTGACTTTTTTCTCCAACTTTTCAACCATACCGGAGCATTCTCCACCACCGACCAAGTTACAACAGCCGTTACAAAAACACATTTGAGGGGAAGTTTTACCATGCTTCCCCTTAATATACGGTTAAAGAAAGATGTTACTAATTTTATTATTATTATTTTAATAAAACAGTAAAATATTACCTAAAATATTATTATTTCTACCTAAAACATTAATATTTTTTAACATTTCCGGTAAAGTGTCAAATAATAACAAAACCGGTAGAAAAAATAATATTTTAGGTAACGTTTTATCGGATATGTTAACAAAATTGGTAAAACGCCCAATAATAACAAAACCGGTAGAAATAATAATGTTTTTGATAATTTTTTACTGATTTTATTAAAAAAATAATAACAAAACCGATAGCTCATTTCCTTAGCCGTATATTAAGGTTGTCGAGACTTTCCAAGTTTTGTATTTCCTGAATTAGGCTAAAGTAAAACCTTTATTTTCTAATAATTGTAACATAAAGGGTAAATTATATCACACTTCACTGTATTATTTGTATGTTTACAATTAGGTCACTTTTTAAAAAAAATCACAATTGAGTCACTCAATTAATCAATTGTCACAATCAAGTCATTGCGTCGTTCAATATCAAACGGACATTAACTTTTTATTTATTTTAGTCACTTAACTATGAATATGCTAAAATTTTGATCATTTAATTATTAATAAATTTACATTTTGGTCACTCAACTTTTGGTTGTGAGTAAATATTTTTTAGTTTTTTTTTCTAGTTTCTTACAGGCTGATGCAAGATCCATTTTCAATTATCTTAGTGTTCTTCTTGCACAAAATATCTTTGATTTTTTTTTTTGCTTGGATGATTGCTTTGATGCTTTTATACTTCGCCAATCTATAGAAAAAAAATAGGAAAAGCATTTTTTGTTTGAATTATTATATTACAATCTACCCATTGGTTCTAAAGTTGAATAGAAGCTTTTAGCTTTCGGTTGCATCATAACATACACCTCAAGAAAGATGAATCAATATGTTTCATTTTCATTATATGCTAATGTTAGTAACCTGTATGGTGTATAATGGTGGTCTAATACTTTAATGTGCACTTACAAAGGAAACTTATCACATTATCAGTAAATTAATTTGGTATGTAATAAATTTTTAAGAGAAGATGATGATTGTGAAAAGGCAAGCAGTGAAGATATAATTTAAGCAGAAAATGTTATTTTCATTTTACATTACAGACTCATGAAGAATAAAAGTACTAAAGATTTTTTGTTCAAGAACATCGAGTGAATAAGGAATCGATGTTGCTTTAGCTTTATTTGATCGATATCTAAAGTAATAGGACCTAAAATTATTTGCATACAACATATACTAGTTCTTAATAGATTAACATTTTACTATATTTGAACTTTCTCATTTTAAAGTTTCTCTGTAGCAGTTATTTTGCATTTTGAAAGTTACCACCAGTTTTTGGCGTTGAGGGCAGCGGGTGGTGGCTTTGCCCGGCCACTACCTTGTTCTTTTTTATTTTTCAGTCAATTGTTTCGTTTTTGTTATTATTTAGATATTTTTAATATATTTACGATAATATTTTCTCTCGGCCCTTTCTCTGACAGAGGGTATCATGACTACCGATGCCTTTAGGTTTTCGGTACATGTTTCTTTCTTTGATTTCTATTCGGTTTCTGATCTCAATTTTCTTGCAATACCATCTTTTGGTCATGTTTTCCTTTGTATGGAGCATGGCTTCTTTTCGACGGCTTGTTCTTTGTCCTCCCTCTGTTCTTTTTGTGATGGTAGGATAAGATAGCGATTAACGGAAGATTGGTTTTTCATTCATTCGTGTTGGATTCTCTCTAGGTTCTTCTCCTCTATGTTTTTTGTTCGGAGATGTTAGAATGATCCGTCTCTATATGTCGTTGTCTCAATAATTTCCGCTTTTGTTCATCCGACTGTCACTATTCATTATTCTGTTTATGATTATCTTGGATGTATCTCCGATAATATTGTAAATGATTTTTTATGGCTAATGCAATATACGTACCTATTTTAAAAAAACTCCACTTAATTAATTTTAAAGAATTGCTCTAGTTTGAGAAAAAAAATTGTATGCAATTGAGAATATATAGAAAGGGGGGGGGGATATCAGCCTCATGGAGAAGCAGCCAAACAAATAAAGAAAAGGTTTGACCATTACTCCTCAAAACTTATCCAGAATCAATAACAATTACTTCGTAACAGCGGGGAATCTGCATTGTCACCAAAACTCCCTGCATGTGGACTTTCTTTTTACATCATCATAAATTTATTACTTACCAACTATTTGGATTCCCTTCCGTTTCCGAACAAATTCTTTTTCTCATTTTTATTTAAACTCATCAATTGATCTTAGTAGTTAAAATAATGTTATTCTTCCTCGAGGTCATGAGTTCAAGCAATTACGCCTGTAGGTGTGTGCATTGACAATTGCTAATAAAAATTTTGAACATATACTATTATGTAATACTATAGTATTTAATTTTTTTAAGTTGATTGTACGGAACATTTTAAAATTAAATTAATTTAACAGCAAAATTTTAATAAAGCTTTATTAACAATGTAATTTAATGGCTAATGAAAGGACTTGACTAGAACTATATTGATGATTTGAGACTCAATTACAATGTGTTGAAGTTTAAGGATCAATTTAGAGTTCACCTAATAATTTTGGGATGTTTGACGTTATTTACCCCAACCTTTTTAACGACCCTCGGGCTTAGAGCTTGAGGTGTCATCATTTGAATAATGAAAAAAAACTCGAAATTGTGAATTTGTTAGCCTTTTTATTTTATGGTAATTAGTCAAAATTTGTAATACATAAAAAAATGAAGGAAAAAAATCTATTGGCCGCTTATAAAATGGCTTTACACATGCATGGCAAGCACAGACAGATTGCCAGCCTGGTATTTGTTTCCATTGAATACAAGTGAAATCACTCACAGTTCATAATTCCTTTGCTTCTCATATTTTCAACTCTTCTTCCCCTTTCTTTCTTCTTCATGGCTGGTTCAGGGAAGAGAAAGAAAGACGATGATGATGAAGTATCGACAACTCGAGGGGCATTATCTAAACGCAGAGCCTGTCTCATTCGAAAAGCTAACGAAATCTTCGTCAACTGCGGCGTCGATATTGCACTCATCGCCTTCTCTCCCTGCGCCCGCTTTTGCAGATTCTTCTGCCGGGGAAAGTCATAACTTTTAACTTTTTCTTTTCATTTTTGTTTTCTTCGGCACTGATTTTAAGTGTTTATTTCTGTCGTCTTTTGTATTTTTTAAATAGGATGGAACATGTGCTTGAGCGTTACATCAACCTACCCACAGAGAAAAGATACCAGTATGAATTTTAATTTCTATTATTATTATTATTATTATTTACTATCATGGAGCTAATCGGTTTGATGGGTCTTTTTCAAAAAAATTATTGGCCAAAACAGAAGTATAGCATGTTTAGAGGTAATATATATATATATATATATTAGATTTGTGAATTTTTTCTTCTTAAATTTATGATTTATATTGTTGAGAGTAGGAAATTAATGTAATATTTCCAAATGTATGCAGTGGAGGTTACATAGGATGAAGCAATTGGACTACATCCAGGGAGATGAAATCAAGCTATTTCACCTCGAGATTCAGTTTGTTTATCTTCTATCTATTTTTTTCTCTTCAGTTCTTACAACTTTGCATTTATTTTACATATATATATAACTATAAACCGTATAAAAATAAACTTTTTCCGTACCGTTAAAGATTCGTACTTAAATTTTACCGTTAATCGTTAATACCGGACATATTTTTCGTTATTTCTTATAAATATTAAAGAGAAAATAATTTCAGTGTCCGAAAATGTCTTATAATATACGATTTTAATCAAATTTTTTT